ATAGGTTCACATTAAGATGTATAAGTACATAGTTACCAGTCAGTTTTCATAACCTTGTACTTAAACATAGGTTCACATTAAGATGTATAAGTACATAGTTACCAGTCAGTTTTCATAACCTTGTACTTAAACATAGGTTCACATTAGGATGTATAAGTACATAATTACCAGTCAGTTTTCATAACCTTGTACTTAAACATAGGTTCACATTAGGATGTATAAGTACATAGTTACCAGTCAGTTTTCATAACCTAGCATTTGTTTCCACGCAAATAGATTCCAGAAGATAAGATTTATAATTATATAAGACCTCAGATTTTAGCACTGTAAGTTCATAAACTTACCACTGACCCACTGTGAGACTTTATGCAATTAACAATGTAAAAAAAATACTTAAAAAATACTTTTCTTTATCAAGGCTGACATATCAAAGCCTTTTATCAGAAGTTATGACGTCACAAAAAAACTCAGAACCCAACAACAACAAGTTGTATTTAAGAACAGTGTATACCGTGACTTATTCGTTAAAAAAATACGTTTAATTTCAAAATAAAATGGGGGCAATTTTTCATAAGTTTCTATTTGGCTTATGGAAACATTACGGACAATTTATTGAGGAAATTCTAAAAGGAAAATTCTGTTAATGATACTTTTGCGCATTTCCCCTTACACTTGCATTGCGGTTATTAATTTACTATTCAAAAAAAAAGAAACTTGGGGTTTGTTTCTGATCACAGAGTTTTTTGCTTAAGTTCAAAATAAACATGTCGAAGTATGTAATGTTCTTCTGCATGTTTTCAAACTAAAATGTTTAAATAAGCTATTAAAACAACAGGTTTGATGAAATATGGGTGTTGAAAAGCTTTTTACGTTGTTCAATTTATTGTATAGTAAAAAGAAAAATTGGTATTCTGTGACTTTTTAGGTCAAAGTTTTAACACTTGTGGCCAGTAACCTCACTTTATTTCATATTGATTACTAGCTGCAGTACCCGTCCGTTGGATTGGTGAAATAAAAACTCGTTTGTAACAATGGATAGGATATTTGGCTTTTATTTTTTTCTTAACATAATAAACATTAAAAGAGCAATAAAAATACATAAAGGTACCAATACTGACAAGGAAGACACACAGTTTTCAAGAATTCTATCAGTATGAAATTAGATGGGGGTCACCACCACCTCTTTCATGACCTTCCTCATGTCATCCTGTATCACTGTTTCGATTTTGGTGCTGATTGAACAAGAAATGTGGAAACGTATAAGAAACAGATATACAACACACACATATATCACCGTTTACTTAAATAGATAAAGTGCTTAAAAATATTTTCCATAAAATCAAGCTTTTCAGTCATAAACCAGTACTGGTGTTTATAATGTATTTGAACTGAAAGTACACAATAAATGAGAAAACTAAACGAGATTAACTACTAGTTTGCTTCTACTGTAGAGGTAGGTCTACTGAATATTATCATTAAGCCGAAATGTTGAGTAAATAAAACGACCTGTAAGGTTCCCTGGAGTCATTTTATTTGTTTGTAATTATTTGTACTATGCTCCAGTGAGCATTACATAAATTAAAAAAACAAAACAATAGAACGTACGTTAAGTGTTCAGGTCAAGTAATTTGTAGTTAAGTATTATATATATATATCAATACTTCAGTTTGAAGCTAGAAAGTTTTTCTAATGTTAGACAATAAGGAAAAAATAATAACTAATGCACACAAGTTTTAGGAACGCCATTTTTGGGTCTCATTTATATCATGTTATGTTGTTTCTGTTTTTTTTTGTTCCTAAACTGAAGAAGAATCATTAGTTTGACAAATTTATTTCAAATTATAGAATTTTAGCTTGTATTTATATTTCACTCAAATTATCTTATTTCATAAACTAGTGCGTTCCAATGTTTAACATACTACAGATCTTAGAACTGTTAATTCAAAATTATGTCCTCAAAATTTCCTTTGAAAACAGTAGATGACAGTATCAATTTCTGACATGTTTCACCATTGTGACTTGTAACTTTTATCTGCCTGAATTTCCTGAGATGGACCTAACGTGGCCTGGTGGGTAACGTATTGGACTATGAATCCGAGAGTTATGGTTTATGTCGAGT